TACATAGTGATTCAAGGAATAAAAATAGAGAAGTCAATTTATTTATTTAATAAGTATTTTTAAGCACTTAAAATTATCTAGACACTAAAGTAAATAATAAAATACGATTAAGTTATTTTAACTGTGTGCCAATCTAGAAATGATTATGCCCATGATTGTAGTACATATTAGCACAGGATAAAACAATGAGATGGTTAGGGTTTTGTGTCCGCTTGACTGGGCCAGGTCTCAGTGGTTTCGCTGTTAAGACATAATAATGCCCCATGATGAGAGCTAATATAATGTAATCACTCCCCACAATGTGATCTGATGTGATCAGCCCTAATCTGAGCTAATTATCCTATGTGTTGTAAATCCTCACTTCTAAGACAGTAATGAGACCTGATATAATTTATAGGATTAGGTTATATCTCAGTCAATATAAAGGGAGAGAGGAGTGTGCACACAAAGAGGGTTGGTGGCTTGCATGTTGCTCTGATGCTGGAAGCTATGCCACCGGTATTTTAAATGCCAGCAGGGGCACCCATAGTGGACAATCCACTTACCTTAGGGGCAAACCCAGTTCCCAAAACTTTCAAATTCTTCACACATTTAACTTTTAAGTTTTGAAACACCCAATCATAGGTTACACAGTTCAGTTCTATGTCCCACTGGATTAAATGGAAAATATTTGGAAGCATAATTTATGGTAATCCTTTTGGTAATAATCCAGCATTATCTGAAATTATTGACAAATTTAAATGTGTTTTCCATAGCTGCAAGTTTTTAGAATGTTTAAAAGTAATTAAGACGGTGATAAGTAAATATTTAGGCAGAAATAATTTATTTCAATAAAAATTTTAAAAGCCTTACCTTGAAATGCTATTAGTAAATTTCTGTTATATTTAAATTTTGTTTTGTTTTGCTAAGAGCATAGCTAGTTGTTCCTGTTTTTCTTATACAACAATAATAACAAAAAGCAAACTCTTTTTAAAAAAAAAAGGTTTCAACTGAGCTTTCTTGCACACTAAGACAAACTAGGAAGTAAAAGCAGACTACTTCTGAATGCTTAGCCACGGAAAACCTTATGATTAGCATTAGAACACTGTCAGCACCAGACTATTTAATCTTGAAGCATGATAAATAACACCAGGCTATTGTCATATATAATGGAAAAGATGAGCACCTCAGGCTAGAAGGTACCCAAAATACGACTCAGAAAGACCTGCCTCCTCAAGTTGGTAGAGTTGACCATAGTGATACAAATGAAGGAAAGCTTTCAGGACCTTCTTTTATTAATGGGGCATAACTCAAAATGAGAAAAAGCTGAAAATATCCATTAATAATCAGAACTTGGAATGTACCAAGTATTAATCTAGGAAAATTGGAAGTTGTCAGAAATGAAAAGCAACACATAAAGATCAATAAGCTATGCATAGTGGGTTGAAATGGACTATATTGGCCGTATTGAATCAGGCAATTATAGGGTTTACTATGAGGAAATGGCAAACTCATATATGGGGTCATATTCATCATCAAAAGAACATTTCAAGATCTGTCTTGAAGTATAATGCTGTCTGAGCTGTGGGTTAATGCACTGCACTGAAAATTAAGTTTGAAACCCAAGGTGGGCAGTTCAAGCTCACCAGCTGCTCTTCGGAAATCCTATACAGTATTGCTATGGGTTGAAACTGACTTGATGGCACTTAACAACAACAACAAGGAAGACCAGTTGATACCACTATTATTCAAATTTACTCACCAACCACTAAAGCCAGTGATTATGAAATGGAAGAATTCTACTAATTTCTTCAGTCTGATATTGATCAAACATGCAATCAAGATATATTGATAATCACTGGTGATTGGAAACAAAGAAGAAGGGTCACTAAGTTGAAAAATATGGCCTGGGTGATAGAAATGATACTGGAGACCATGTGAAAGAATTTTGCAAGACCAGTGACTTGTTCATTGAAAATACTTTTTTTGAACAGCATAAAAGATGAATATGCACATGGATGTTCACTAGTTGGAATACAAAGAAATCAAATTGACTATATCTTTGAAAAACTCCTTATCTGCCAAAACAAGACCAGAATCAAACTGTGAAACAGCATCAGTTTCTCATATGCAAGTTCAGGTTAAAGCTGAAGAAAATTAGAACAGGTCCATGAGAGCCAAATTATGACCTTGAACATATCCTACCTGAATTTAGATACCATGTGAAGAACAGATTTGATGCATTAGACACTAATGACCCAAGACTAGAAGAGTTGTGGAATGCCATCAAGAACAGTATATAAAAAGAAGGCAAAAGAAGAGTAGGAAGTTAAGGAAGAAATAAAAGACCAAAATAGATATCAGAAGAGACTCTGAAACTTTTTCTTCTGTGTAGAGATGCTAAAGCAAATAAAAGAAGTGAGAACGTAAAAGGGCTGAACAGAAAATATCAAAGGGCAGCTTAAGACAAAGCAAAGTTTAATGGTATGTGCAAATGTCTGGAGTTAGAAAAGCAAAGGGGAAGAATACGCTCAGAATTTCTCAAGCTGAATGAACTGAAGAAAAAATTCAAGCCTCAACTTGAAATGTTAAAAGATTCTATGGGCAAAATACTGAATGCTGCAGAAAGCATCAAAAGAAGATGGAAGGAATACACAGAGTCACTGTACCAAAAAGGAATGGTTAATATTCAACCATTTCAGGTAGTAGCATATGATCAAGAGCCAATGATACTGAAGAAAGAAGTCCAAGGTGCACTGAAAACATTGGCAAAGAACAAGGCTCTGGGAATTGATGGAATACAAATTGAAATCTTTCAACAAACTGATGCAGCATTGGAGACCCTCACTCACCTATACGAAGAAATGTGGAAGACAGCTACCTGGCCAAATGATTGGAAGAGGTCCATATTTGTGCCCATTCCAAAGAAAGGTGGCTCAATGGAATGCAGAAATCATTATATCATTAATGTTGCATGCAAGTCAAATTTTGCCAAAATTAATTTTAAAATGGGTGTAACATTAACATGGAACTGCCAGAAGTTCAAACTGGATTCAAACGAGGATGTGGAACAGAGGATGTGGAACAAGGGATATCATTGTTGACATCAGATGGATCTTGACTGAAAGCAGAGAATACCTTAAAATTGTTTACCTGTGCTTTATTGACTATGCAAATGCTTTCAACTGTGTGGATCATGATAAGCTATGGATAATATTGAGGAGAATGAGTATTCCAGAACACTTAATTGTACTCATGAGGAGCCTGTACATAGACCAAGAGGCAACTGTTCATACAGAGCAAGCGGGCACTGAATGGTTTAAATATAGGAAAGGTGTGCTCCAGGATTGTGTTCTTTTCCCATACTTATTCATTCTGTACATTGAGCAAATAATCTGTGAAGCTCCATTAAATGAATAAGAACATGTCATCAGGATTGGAGGAAGACTCATTAACAACCTTTGACATGCCCATGATACAACCATGCTTGCTGAAAGCTAAGAGGATTTAAAATACTTACTGATAAAGATAAAAAACCACACCCTTCAATGTGGATTGCTTCTCAATGGAAAGAAAACAAAAATCAATGTAAAAGGACCAATAAATGATATCATGATAAATGGAAAAAAGACTGACGTTGTCAAAGACTTCATTTTGCTTGGATCCACTATCAAAATGCATAGAAGTCTAATGACATATTGCACTAAACAAGTCTGTTGCACAAGACCTCTTTAATATATTCAGGAGCAAAGATGTCAGTTTGAGGACTAAGGTGTGCCTGACCCAAGTCATAACTTCATATGCATTTGAATGTTGGACAATGAATAAGGAAGACAAGTAGAAGAATTGATGCATTTGAGTTGTGGTGTTGTTGCCATTGAGTCAATCCTGACTCAAAATAACCCTATATAGGGTTCCCAAGGAGCGTCCAGTGGGTTTGAACCAGTAACCTTGTGGCTTACAGTCCAGTGCTGATCCTACAGCACTATACCAGGAATCCAGTTATGGTATTGGAGAAGAATATTAAAAGTACCATGGATTGCTAGAAGAACAAACTAATCTGTGTTGGAAGAAGCACAGCCAGAATGTGCCTTATAAGCCAGGATGGCTAGACTGTGTGTCTCATACTTTGAACAGTTATCAGAAGGGACAAGTCCCTGTGTAAGGACATCATGCTTGGTAAAGCAGAGTCCACAAAAAAGAGGAATACCCCTGAGATGGATTTGCACAGTGGCAGCAGCAATGGGCTAAGCCTAACAATGATTGTTAGGGTGACTTAGGACTAGGCAGTGTTCTTGTGCATAAGGTTGCTATGACTCGGAACCATCTTCTAACAAAAACGGCAATGACACTACCACCAAAAAAGAAGAGGCAAGAGTGGATTGCATCCTTTGGACCTGGGTCTCTGCCCTGTGAAGGGCCCTGCCCTTAAATCCAGAGAAAGATTGATGCCAAAACATATGGAGATATCCAAGAAATGCGAGTCCTACAGAAGGAGTTCTGGTAACATAGTGGTTATGAGTTGGGCTGCTAACCTCAAGGTCAGCAGTTGAAAACTACCAGCTACTGTGCGGGAGAAAGATGAGGCTTTCTGTTTCTGTAAAGATTACAGCCTCGGAAACCTTCTTCAGGGTCGCTATGAGTCAGAACCGACTCCACGGCACATAACCACCACCACAGATACTGAAAAAAGACAAGGACTTTTCTCCAAAGTGAGCACTCTGAATTCAGGCTTCTAGCCTTCTAAACTGTGTTAGATTAAATTTTTGTTTTTTAAAACCATCCACTTACGTTATTTCTTTAATAGCAGGATAACAAAGATAACTAAGACAAACTATAATTGATAATTTGTTTGAAGGTGCTATAAAAGTTGGAGAGATTTTGTAAGTGTTCATATATAAGGTGGCATTTGAACTAGGCCTCTAAGGATATTGATGACCATAGATAAGGGTGTGGGAGGAGTATAAGTGGTATAAGTGAGTGAAATGAATATTTCTCAATTTTTTTTTTTCTCCCAACAGGAGCTGTATTTGATGAAAATACTAGGAAAATATTGGTTGTACAAGACCGAAATAAAGTAAGTTGCTTTTGCTTTATAAACTGCTTTCTAAATGTTAAGGGTTTTTAGGAGAAAAATCAAAGGTAGAAATTTTTATATGCCTAGAGTATTATAGAAAGATATTTTTTAAAGTCATTACCAAACAGTTATGTATCATTTGCATATTTGCTTAAATCAAAAAATACTTTATGCAGGCTTTGACAATGTCAAGTTAATACTCAGTGGTATCCATTCACCATTATTTCACCACTGCAGGAAAACTATAAATGGCTGTTTTTAATCGGTAAGACAAACTGTCTCTGACAGACTATTCTTCTGCTTTTTCAGCATTCATTGATATCCTACTTTGTGCCAGGTACACAAAGAGTACACAAAAACTAATAAGACAACATCCCTGATATCTTGCAATTTTCTATCTATGAAGAAAAATCGACATACAAATGGATGGTGACAAATCACTTTGCCTTATCCAAAACCAAACCCACTACCATCAAGTGAATTCCAACTCACAGCAACCCTAAATAGGGTTTCTGAGATTTTTATGGGAGCAGAGAGTCTCATCATTATCCTGAGGAATGTCTGGTGGGTTGAACTGCCGACAGTGTGGTTAGCAGCCCAATGCCTAACTCACAACGTCACCAGGGCTTCTTATACTTTGCTTTATGGAGCCCCCAAATCAGAGGAGATAGCCTTTAAACTAAACCTTGAAGAAGGAGTAGGAGTTTCCCAGGCAAAAAATAAAGAAGGATAAACATACTGAGAAAACTGGAATTGTGTATATAAAGACACAGTGGATGAAAATACTGGTAAAAAAAAATTCACTATGGCCACGAGTTCAGGGAGTGGTAAAACATTTGGCCTGAAAGCTAGATTGGGAACAGATTGTAAGGAGGCTTGTGTACCAAAATAAGGAGTTAGGCAACTAGGGGCAACACAGATTTTTAAGGGAAGCACCAAGATTAGCCTATGAATCATAACAATTCTATCCTCAAGTGATCATGGGGATGGTGCAGTATTTCATTCCTTTGTGCATGGAGTCACCAGGAGTCAAGAGCCAACTTAATGGCAACTAACAACAACTAAGATGAGAGAGCAAATGTTTTTATCCTCTAGAGTATAAGTAAAAGTGAAAGGAATGTTTATACTTTCTGAGACTTCAGTAAATATTAGTTGACAGAGTCAAAATATTTTTCCTTATCAAATGTTTTTCAATTCTAAATTAATATATTTGCAATATTAACTGAAAGCTGTTATCACACATTTCTCAAAAATGTTACAAAAATTCTTATGGTTATCTCCTACCTAACTTTTGAGGCTTTAGTTAAGGAGAATCTCTGACTCAAACTGAACTGTATCATCAACAGCTATATATTGACTACATAAAATACATTTAGTACATAATATAGGCAGTCGTGCCAACAGAACAAGGAATACTGAATGGTTTAAAATCAGGAAAGATGCATGATAGGTTTGTTTTCTTTCACTATACTTATTCAATCTGTATGCTGAGCAAATAATCTGAGAACCTGGAATATATGAGAAGTTGACTTCAGAATTAGAGGAAGAGTCATTAGCAACCTGCGTTATGCGGATGATACAACCTTGCTTGTGGAAAGTGAAGAGGATTTAAAATACTTACTGATGAAGATCAAGCCCTGGTGTGGCACTTTGGGTTAATGCACTGGAATGCAAGGTCGATTTGAACCACAAGGTCAGCTGCTCAAGCTCACCAGTCACTCCTTGGAAACCCTATACAACATCGCCTTGAGTTGGAACCAACTCAATGACACTTAAGAACAACAACAATGAAGATTAAAGACCACAGCTTTCTGTATGGGTTGTACTGCAATGTAAAGAAAACAAAAATTGTCACCCCTGGAGCAATAAATAACATCATGATAAATGGAGAACAGAATGATGTTATCAAAGATTTCATTTTGTTTGAATCCACCATCAACACTGATGGAAGCAGCAGTCAAGAAATCAAACAATTTACATTAGGCAAATCTGCTGCACAAGACCTCTTTAAAGTGTTCAAAAGAAAAGATGTCAGCTTGAGGACTAAGGCATGCCTGACCCAAGCCATGGTATTTTCAATAGCCTCATTTGCATGTGGAAGTTGGACAGTGAATAAAGAAAACTGTAGAAGAATTGATACATTTAAGTTATGGCACTAGAGAAGAAGTCCAACGGTACGTTGGACTGCCAGAAGAGCAAATCTTTGTTGGAAGAAGTACAACCAGAATACTCCTTAGATGCCAGATAGCCAGACTTCATCTCTCATACTTCTGACATATTATCAGGAGGGAGCAGTTCCTGGGTAAGAATATTATGCTTGGTAAAGTGGATGGCCAGTGAAAAAGAGAGAGACCCCTCAATGAGATCGATTAATACAGTAGCAGCTGCAGGGGGCTCAAGCGTAACAGCAATTGTAAGGATGTGCAGCATCGGGCTGTGTTTCATTCTGTTGTGCGTAGGGTCAATATGAGTTGAAACCAATTCGATGGCACCTAACATCAACAAAATATTATTTTGCCTACCCCTCAGAAAGTTTTAATTTGAATTTTCATTTTTAGGTATTTTGGATACCAATACATACATATATATATATATATATATATATATATATTTGTTGTTGTTGTTAAGTGCTGTCGAGTCAGTTTTGACTTATCCTGACCCTGTATAGGGTTTCCAAAGAGTAGCTGGTGGGTTTGAACTACTTCTGACCTTGTGGTTCATAGTCCAGTGTGCCCGTAATATTGTTAACATTGTTATAATACATTAGAGGAAACAAAAATAGGACACACTGAAGGATAGTATCATCAGTGATGATGACTGTATATAGCATACAATTCAGTTTTGTGTTCTTGAGTACCTTTTCTCAGTAAGTACTGTTGCTCTTCAGAAATGAGAAGTATTGATGAGGATGTTAGTGGGATCTACTCAGGAAAATCTTCAAGGAGGAAGAAAACCTTGAACCAAGCTTTGTACAAAAAGAAGAATTTAGAGGACAGGATATTGCAGAAGAGGGGACCAGTAAGAGAGCAGGTACAAGGCAAGAAGAAGCAATGTATTTGCTGTGAGACTCATTTGATGGAAATGACTGGAGATAGGAAGCATGACTGAGTGGTGAGGTTAAGACCTAGTTATGTTGAGGCCTAAGAACCAGTCAGAAGAATTTAGACATGATATGGGATGACCATGTGATGAAGATGCTGTATGGATAAGATTAATCTAATAACAATGTGCAAATTAGTCTGAAAACATGTGGAATGGAAGGAATTCAATAGAAACAAAATAGACTTCAGAATAATACAGAACTCATTTCCATTGCTTGGGTTAATTCTAAGTAGCCCTGGTAGCACAGGATTAACTGTTGGGCTGCTAACTGCAAAGGTCAGCAGTTCAAATCCACAGCTGCTCCACAAGAGAGAGATGTTGCAGTTGCTTCCATAAAGATAACAGTCTTGGAAATCCTATGGGGCAGTTCTGCTCTGCCCTAAGGTCACTAAGAACAAATTGACTTAACAGTTCACAATAGACCATTTCTACCTTCAGCTTCCTCATTTGTAAAATTTACATAATAATACTTTCATCATAGAAAGGCAGTGTCATGACAAGGGAAGAGATAGGAGTTGGTGACAGTAAGATTGTTTGGCAGTTAAGAAAAAGAATCAGTATTTAGAGCTAGAGATGAGGGCTGGAAAACTGGATCACCAACAAATACAGGACTGTGGGTAGAGAGAAAATGTCACTTCATTATCATTAGTTATCAAATGAGTTTGAGGTTGAAGTTGTCACTGATTTTATTCTACTTGGATTGACAATCAATATTCATGAAAATGGAGGCCAAGAAATAAAATGACATATTGCATTGGTAAATCTGCTGCAAAATACCTCATAAAAATACTTACTGTTGTTGTTGTTAGGTACCGTCAAGTTGGTTCTGAGTCATAGCAACCCTGCACAGGGTTTTAAGCAAATATGTCACTTTGATAAATTAGAGTCATCTAGCCCAGCCATGGTCTTTTCAGTCTCCTTGTATGTATGCAAAAGGTAGACAATGAAAAAGGAATCCAGAAGAAATGATGCATTCAAATTGTGATATTAGCAAAGAATACTGAATATACTGTGGAATTCCAGAAGAACAATCAAATCAGTCTTAGAAGAACTATTACCAGAATGGTTTTAGAAGCGAGAATTGGGAGACATCAACACTTTCTGATTGGTTACTAGGAAAAACCTATCACTAGAAAAGAACATCATGTTGGTAAAGTTCAGGATCAGTGAAAATGAGGAAAAGCCTCAATGAGATGGAGTGACACAATAGTCACAACAGTGGACAAAATCATAACAATGACCAGAAAATAGCATAGGACCAGGCAATGTTTCATTCTATTTTTCATAAAGTATCTACGAGTGGGAGCTGACTCTGTGGCAACTAACAACAAAAACAACCCAGACATTTCTTCTCATTCCTCCTGAGAAGTTAGTGAGTACAAAAAAGTTGCCATGGGTCAGTTCCTTGTTTCATTAAAAGAGAGTTAAGAAGCACATTAATGAATACCTTTTTTATACTTCCACCATTGTGCTTAAAGAGCTCTGGTAGCGTAGTGGTTACGAATTGGGCTGTGAACCTTAAGGTCAGAAGTTCGAAACTACCAGCTGTTCCGTGGAAGAAAGATGAGGCTTTCTGCTCCCATAAAGGTTTACAGCCTCAGAAATACTGTACAGGGTCGTTATGAGTCAGAACTGACTCCACAGCACATAACAACAACAACTATTATGTTTAAAAGCTGTTGACTCTGTTCTTCAACCACATTCCTCATCTTTGCTTCTGAGTAAATGTTGAGCCCTTGATTTCATATAGTGGACTATTTAAGGGAGCCCATTACTCATGGATGATATTAAGGGCTCATTTTTTAAACTTCAGTTATATAAAAAATGCTACTCTTATTAGTGTATTACAGTCAGTATTAATACAGTCAGTATTAAGAGACATGGGCTTATTTCTTGCA